TATATATATTGTGAGCAGATGGCTCTTCAGAGAGCATTTGACAGGCAATGAAAAGGTTTTGTATTGGCTCCGCACCACCTGCTTTAACCCCTTGGACCCTGCACAAGCTCCCCTTCCTAGACACTTGAAAGGGTCGCAATCCGTATTCCTGATCACCACTATCAAAGTTCCACTGTCAACAGACAAGTGCAGCCAGCAAAATTGTTTCTGATCACTGACACACCAGTGCTGTGTTGCTTCTGCCTGCCACCTGTACTAATCCTGACCTATTTATTGGCCACATTTCTGCCTGCTACCTGAACTGATCCTTTGCCTGGTTGCTGACCATGTCTCTGCCTTCCGCCTGAACTGACCCATCCGCACACCTGACTGACTATGATCCTGCGAGACATCAGTCATAGCCATCCACTGTGAACAACTGAACTCCTGGAACCACAGGAACTCTTTTCTTCTTCCTTTCTTCAGCCTGCCCGGTGAACATGGCTTTCCTGAGGGCAGCCACAGACTGGTTGGCTAGGCTTACTTGGCTTATAGTAACTTGGACTGCTATAGATGACACTACACTAATCTATTTTCCATGATCACATACAGAGGCGACCATTACAGTACATTGGTTTTGACACAAGTGGTTGATTTTTGTGATGCACAAGCTACAATAACTTTTGTGTAAAAAATCAATTTTCATTTTCTTTCCACATTTTCCAAAAACTTATGGCAATAAAAGAAGTCTTCAAAAGACTCACCGTGCCTCTTAAAAATACCCTGGAGTGTTTATACCAAAAATGTGATAGGTAGTCAGGAAATGGTGTGTAGTTTTTGCCCCTGGAATGTCTGAAAGTGCTCCTTGGATTTTGGGCCCCTCTATGTGGTTAGGCTGTGGAGAAGTCTTAAGCCTAGTTCACACGATAAGAAAAATTGGACAAAAGAATACAGCTTTCAGGGTGATCATTCAATAATCTGATCGTTAGTACACAGCTTTTGGTAATCGATCACGACAGTTCATGCAAAATTGTCTAAAGGAACAAGCACAAACATTTTCCTCGTACAATACCAGAACAAACAATTTTTGTTTAATTAGTAGAGTGTTGGTCCGAAAAAAAAATCAAGCGACCAAGACCGCACATGCTCAGAAACGAAAAAAATACAATACATTACAGCACACAAGAATTTTTTGTAACTTTAGTAACCTCTTCATTTTCGATATGAGACTAGCATGCAAAAAAAAAAAACACTGATCACTTGTCCAACATTCTCATTGTACGCACAAGGCTTTACACTTGTGGTATCCCCATACTTTGGAGGCGTAGTGGAATGTGTTTTGGGGTGTAACTGTAAGTATGCCTATGCTGTGTAAAATAACTCTTTAAAATTACAAGTTTGTGAAAAAAATTATATAATTTCTTTATTTTCCAAAATGAATGTCTACTTTGCAAAAAGGAGTAATTTAGAGGGTATATTAACTGTCCTGGCATTTTAGGGCCTCAGCAGATAGGCAGTCAGTACACACACAACTAAACTACTTTAATCCTCCGACTCTCCCATCTCTTCTACAGAAAAGGCTATTTATTCTATAGCCCCAAGATAAGAACTAGGAGGGCTAAGTACTCTCCTTGAGATGGCACAGGAAGTGTGTACAAGATACAGAACAGTTCTGAATTTCTGACATGATCAACAGGTTTTTTTTAGCAAATATAGAATAGATAAAAGAAAGCATGTTCAATGGTTTATTTAACAGACCTAAATAGAATAAATGGGAGATGTTCATTGTTAAGGTTTACATGCATTGTAAGGCCTTTAGTTAATGCTATATGCAATAGAAAGAGCTCTGTGAGGGATCTTCCAGCTGCTGTTGTGCTGAAAATACAACTAAATAGCAGACACAACCCCTATCTCCTAGCATAGAAAGGTATGTCTTAATAGGCCAGAACACACAGACTCCCAAAAAGCATGTAGGCTATAAGGGCTTTCTAATGATAAGGGACAGTATACTATGGAAACTGGTAATCGGTGTTCTTTAGCATTGGCTGCGTCTGTACAGAGATTGCTCATGGCCCTGTACTAGTCTAAGATGGCCTAATGCATAGGCATGGTCTTTTTTAAAAACGATCAGGGCTTCCTGGGGTAAATTGTTTCTAATGTGCAGTTTCTAAAACACATTAGTGCAAGACGACCAATAAGGATGTGCTCTGAACATTTTGTTAGTACTTTTGGGCAGCACAGTGGCTAAATGGTTAGCACTTTTGCCTGGCAGTACTAGGGTTGCTGGTTTGAATCCCACCTGCATGGAGTTTGCATGTTCTTCCTGTGCCTGTGTGGGTTTCCTCCTGGTACTCTGGTTTCCTCCCACACTCCAAAGACATGCTGGTAGGTTAATTGAATCCTGTCTAAATTGGCCCTAGTATGTGTTTTATGAATGTAAGTTAGGGATTTTAGATTGTACACACCCCTTGAGGGTAGGGACTGATGTGAATGTACAATATATATGTAAAGCGCTGCGTAAATTGACAGCGCTATATAAGTACCTGAAATAAAATAATAAATACTTTATGTCCAGTCAAAAAAAGTTTATGGATAGAGCAGGGAAATGTAAAATTCTTTGTCAGTTTTTTTACTGTTATCCAGGGCTCCAAGAAAAGACTTCTCCTCACTTGCTGTCACTGTGTCAATAGATGGGATAGGTGCGCCTAAAGTAGAGGAGAGTAGGTGATAATCTGATGGGTTGGGGCAGGGAGTTCCAGAGGATGGGTGACACCCTGGAGAAGTCCTGGAGGCGGGCATGGGAGGAGGAGACCAGGGAACTAGAGAGAAGGAGGTCTTGTGAGGAGCGGAGTGTGCGTGCTGGGCGGTACTTGGATATTAGGTCGGTGATGTAGTTCGGGGCAGTATGGTGGACAGCTTTGTACGTCAGTGTTAGAATTTTGAATTTGATCCGTTGCGCAATCGGAAGCCAGTGGAGGGATTGGCAGAGGGGGTGGCGGAGATGGAGCGGTTGGAAAGGTGAATGAGTCTGGCAGCCGTATTCAGGATCGACTGAAGCGGGGATAGCCATCGGCGAGGCAGGACAGTGAGGAGGGAGTTGCAGTAGTCGAGTCGTGATATGATGAGGGAGTGGATGAGCTGTTTAGTGGTTTCTGGAGTTAGGAACGTGCGGATTTTGGCGATGTTGCGGAGGTGGAGTCTGCACGAGTTTGTTAAAGATTGGACTTGGGGCTCCAATCCCAGTCTGGGATTTCACAGGTGCCGGCCGTAAGAGCTAGTCCTCACTCTATTTGGGCCACAATGTCTGTGCGTAAATGTTCACAACGATCATGTCACTCCTTCAAAAAAAAAAAGCCAGCAGCCACACCTCTCTGACAGGTTTTGCCCTGATTGGGCTTAGACGGATCTGGTAGGGAATTGACAGATACCAGACTTGGAATATTAACAAAATTACACTGTAACCTGGTAAACATACAAATACAGCTAGCCAAAAATTTTATAAACTTTTAATTGATCCCTTTGTGGTCAACATGAATGGAGCTGTAATGATTATAAATCAATGCTACTCACTAACCAAGCAAAGACTCATTTCAGTCTGTGCTCTCATATCGTAATGCAGCATTTGTCATGTATAATTTATTATTGCTGTATAGATGATGCAAACTGAGGATGATTACTCATTTATTTTATGTAAAGATAACATTGCAGGACTTCAAACATGTATGATTAGAATAGATTTTGATTAGAAAAATACAGAAGGGTTGGTAAGAGTGCAGCAGGTCTGATGACCCTGGGCATGCGCAAAGGCAAGAGTATAATCTGCAGAATACCCCAGAGCCCGAGGCTGCACACACTACCTGGCGCAGGGCACAATTTCTTAGATACATTTTCTTTCAGCACCAGGTATCTGGCTCTAGCTTTTATAACAGGGCTCTTGGCACAAAAGGTGTTCCCTAGTCCAAAGCCCCCTTTATATAAATCTTCCTGCTAATTCTAACCCTCCCTCAACCCCTGGCCTATGCCTTTTCTTAAAGAATAACCTAACTCAAGAACAAAATTGCAATATTTTCCAGTTTACAGTCCTTAGCTGTGCATTTGTTTTTTTTTTCCGAATAAAGAACCTTTTCAGCAAATACAGAAAATATTGTCACTTCCTGTTGGACAGAAGAATATCTTCCTATTATAATATAAGTGTACCACCAGGCCGGTTCGCTTTCCTTTGCCCCACTAACCTCTATCACTGGAGGTGTCGGTCTGGTTCACAGCCGAGACACTAGTAGAAAAGGATGGATGTCCGCCCTCCACCATGTGAAGGGTCCCAAAATTTTATTATAGAAATCTATCATAAAAACATGATCACATCGTCACAAAAACAGACACAGACATTAACAAAGCTTACCACAATAATCATGCTCAATATAAAGCCCAGTCACATCCCTGTGTGCAGCTGTAGTCCCTTACCGCTTAGGCTAGGTTCACACCTATGCAGTTTGCATTTGATCCGTTTTTGCACATGCATTTTTGACGCGTTTATGATGCGTTTTTTTTTTCCCAACTTGTTGCTAGGCAGATTAAAAACACAGAATGTATCAAAAAGCACTACACTGCAGCGTCTCCACTGCAGTCTGTTGAACCAAAAACGCAACATATTGTGTTTAAAAATGTCCCTGTCCCTTTCCAAAAACGCACGGGATGAAAATGCAGAGATGTGAACCTGTCCCATAGGAAATCATGTTAAATGGACTGTACTGCGTTTCTGCAAAACACAACAGAAACCGCATAGGTGTGAACATAGCCTAATGCTTATGTGATCCAATCCACACACTGAAGACAAGATTGTCCATGAAATTCCATGTGAAAATAATAATTGACAATTGAAAACAACAGTATTTTATTATTTATTAGTAGTGTTTAAAATTTGAAATACAAAAGTTTCTTTAACATAACCCAATGTACCTGAGCGCTAGACAAGTGAAGCTGTGTTATTAAACATCTCCATTGTGCTTTTCTTTTTTTCATAGGATTCTCCAGCAAGTGGTCCAAGAGGATTGTTTATCCGTGACATCGTAACTCAAGTACAGGGCTGCACTATTACTAATGTCGATGACTGGCACTCATGCCTGGCTGACATCTCACAGAAGCCTCAGATTGGTTATTGCATAAGCACTTTAACTCTACAGCAACTGCATTTTCCTAGCAGAGGTAGAACCCCTTTAAAGTATTGAGAAATATATATATATTAGTAAATTAAAGTGTGTGTGTGTAAGGAAATATATATCATTTTATTTCAAAATTGCATATTTATTTTTAATCCAGGCAAGGCAGGCCATACATTTTACATTATACAACCTACTGGTTGATTGAAACATAAATGTGCTGATTTCCACATATTTGATGTGGATGGGGGAATCCCTCTTACAGTGCTATTGTGTTCTGCTGGCAGGGGGCCTTTGCCGCTGGCAGAATACAGTGATCAGTGTTGCTTGCTATAGCATTGATCAGGCTAAAAAAACAAAAACCCGACAGGCTGGTTGTACAGAATTCGATTAAGAGATTATCTTCTGTACAACCAGCCTGTCCATGCATGGATCGAAATTTGTCCCTGCTGAACCAGCTAAATTTCCATCCATCTATGGCAGGCTTAACATGCCTTTTGAAACACATTTTAGTTGACCTTTAAGAGCTTCCATGGTGCAGATTGCAGATTTTCTTACATACCTTTATCCTGTGATTGATTGTATTATTTGCTGAGGCTGGCCATACACTAGTAGTATTTTAGTCACAAATTGGCTATAAGTGGCTAAAACAACAACTAAAATAACAGTTATAAAAGAACAGACCTAACACTTAAAGTGTTACTAAACCCAGGACCCTGCATTCACGATATCTGGTTTCCCACAGTACACAGATCATGGAAATGCAATTATTTTAGTAAATCTAAACTGCTAAATACCTTTTGTCATCAGCAGTTAGAGCAGTCTTGTGACTTCTATCAGTGTTCAGCAGAACACTGGTTAACGCTTGTAGGAGGAGTTTTCATTTTTCTCTAGGAGGATGCAGAATATCTGACCTCTGTCTGGACAGTGCTGATTGGCCCTATGCTGATCATATGCACTCTCCCAAGAAAAAAAAACAACCTCTCTAGTAATACACACCAAACTGAGCATTTGCAGAGTGTCTCCACAAGATATAAGCAGTAAAAACAAGGTGAGTGAGCGCTAAAATCAAAATGGTAAAATTAAGGTAAGTCCAGCAGCTGAACACCAAAAGGCACCATATAAAACCTTCAAAGTAATCAAGTAAAGCATGGTGCAGCGCTAAAATGATCCGCTAAATCTCATGAAATACTATGTACAAATACGATATAAATAAATAAAAATGATGGCAAATGTGCATTGCAAATAATCACATAAAATTGGTGACAACGTGCAAATAAATATGTCACTGGGTAGTGACTAATATTGTGAAATGGTGTTACACACTAAACCAAATACAGTCCATAGAATAAGTGCAAATGAGATCCCAGATGATCTTCAGAAATCCAGTGGCTGGATCCGTGGATAAGGTGATAGGTATGTAAAGATTGCGCACTCACCAGATACGCAATCCAAATGAGCATTTAGAGTTGATAACCTCAGGACATCAAAAGATCCTAATATAGGTCTGGTCAGATCTCGTCAGGTACCCCTCATTGCCTGGTAATGCTGCCACACTTGGAAATAGCTGCTCTGTAGATGTAGATGGCTCCCAAAGGAGCTCAAAAAACAGAGGAGGCCAAATACTGTAGTATCCTTAGGATAAGGAGTGTTTATTCCATGCAATTACAAGGTAGGAACAAAAGGAAGAAGCACTGACCATATGAGCATATAAGATGGCCGCCGGGGCCCTCGTGGCGTTGGTCGGCGTGACGTCACACCGCTGCAGCCCCTCCCTGACGCTTATGGTGTGATGATGGCACGTAGTCATAGGGCAGTGGATGGCGAACCTTTTTGAGCCCGAGTGCCAAACTGCAACCCAAAACCAACTTATTTCTTTCAAAGTGCCAACACTGCAATGAAACCTGAATATCGAGCTTTTGGTTTAGAAAAAACAACTCGTACAGTAGTGCAAACTTATTAACAGTACAGGGATGACCAGAGACTGCGGACACAGTACAGGGATGACCAGAGACTGCGGACACAGTACAGGGATGACCAGAGACTGCGGACAGTACAGGGATGACCAGAGACTGCGGACACAGTACAGGGATGACCAGAACTGCGGACAGTACAGGGATGACCAGAGACTGCGGACACAGTACAGGGATGACCAGAGACTGCGGACACAGTACAGGGATGACCAGAGACTGCGGACAGCAGTACAGGGATGACCAGAGACTGCGGACACAGTACAGGGATGACCAGAGACTGCGGACACAGTACAGGAGATGACCAGAGACTGCGGACACAGTACAGGGTTGACCAGAGACTGCGGACACAGTACAGGGATGACCAGAGACTGCGGACACAGTACAGGGATGACCAGAGACTGCGGACACAGTACAGGGATGACCAGAGACTGCGGACACAGTACAGGGATGACCAGAGACTGGGGACACAGTACAGGAGATGACCAGAGACTGGGGACACAGTACAGGAGATGACCAGAGACTGGGGACACAGCACAGGAGATGACCAGAGACTGGGGACACAGCACAGGGATGACCAGAGACTGGGGACACAGCACAGGAGATGACCAGAGACTGGGGACACAGCACAGGAGATGACCAGAGACTGGGGACACAGCACAGGGATGACCAGAGACTGGGGACACAGCACAGGGATGACCAGAGACTGGGGACACAGCACAGGGATGACCAGAGACTGGGACACAGCACAGGGATGACCAGAGACTGGGGACACAGCACAGGGATGACCAGAGACTGGGGACACAGCACAGGGATGACCAGAGACTGGGGACACAGCACAGGGATGACCAGAGACTGGGGACACAGCACAGGGATGACCAGAGACTGGGGACACAGCACAGGGATGACCAGAGGACTGGGGACACAGCACAGGGATGACCAGAGACTGGGGACACAGCACAGGGATGACCAGAGACTGGGGACACAGCACAGGGATGACTGCTGACCTTTGGGGAGGGAGGGGGAGCGGGTACCTGAATTTGACAGGTACCCGCTCTTACTTCCGCAGAGTTTTTTTTTTTTTTTATCTTACCTGTTCCTCGATCCATCCGCGCGCTGTCTTCCCGGCTTCTGTAGTGTGGGCGCTCGTCGGACAGCCGGATGCCCAGTGCGCATGCGCGAGAAGCGCTGAGAAGCGCTGCGCTTTGTGATTGGTCCGGCGGCTTCTGGGATCTGTCATGTGTCCCAGGTACCGCCTTACCATTCACAAGGAGCACTGCTTCTTGTGCATGCGCACTTGGGACCCGGCTGTCACGCACACTACAGCCGGGAAGACAGCGCGCCGCTGGATTCTCCTGGCGTGCCCACAGATAAGGCTCGGCGTGCCGGCTGTGGCACGCGTGCCACGGGTTCGCCACCACTGTCATAGGGGGTTAGCTAACCCCCTATGGTCGGCGTGACGTCACACCGCTGCAGCCCCTCCCTGACGCGTATCGTGCGATGGCACGTAGTCATAGGGGGTTAGCTAACCCCCTATGACTACGTGCCATCGCACGATCTGCGTCAGGGAGGAGCTGCAGCGGTGTGACGTCACGCCGTCCGTCGCCACGAGGGCCCCGGCGGCCATCTTATATGCTCATATGGTCAGTACTTCTTCCTTTTGTTCCTACCTTGTAATTGCATGGAATAAACACTCCTTATCCTAAGGATACTACACTATTTGGCCTCCTCTGTTTTTTGAGCTCCTTTGGGAGCCATCTACATCTACAGAGCAGCTATTTCCACGTGTGGCAGCATTACCAGGCAATGAGGGATACCTGACCAGACCTATATTAGGATCTTTTGATGTCCTGAGGTTATCAACTCTTAATGCGCATTTGGATTGCGTATCTAGTGAGTGCGTAATCTTTACATATCTATCACCTTATCCACGAATCCAGCCACTGGATTTCTGAAGCTCATCTGGGATCTAATTTTGCACTTATTCTATGGACTGTATTTGGTTTAGTGTGTAACACCATTCTCCACAAGATATGTCTTATTGGGAGATGAGAGGGGGACACTGTAAGAAGGGGAGGATCAGAGAAGTATCAGCCTTTTTACACAATGCAGAGGATTAACCCCTTAGGTTGCACAGTGAGTATAACAAGCATGCTTTACTGCATATACAAGACTGATTTTACTGTTGTGGGTTTAGTAACACTTTAACCTGACCATAGATGGTTAGAATTTCAAATGAAAATTCTTAGGAAAATTTGTACTAAAGTTCTTAGAACATTGGAATGCCATTTGAAAGATTTTGTTTGCTTTTAACATTTGATATTGGAATGAATGGACTTTACCAAAATGAAAACCACATACTCTGTTAGCAAATCGTTCATTTGAGAAAAAAAATTCCATCCTGCGCCTTCAAATTTTCCCATCACAGCTGTTGAAAACGACCGTCGATTTAACCCACTAATGATTAGCAAAATGAGCAAATATTTTTAGAACGTTCTCTTCCTTTTAAAATTCTACCCATCTATGGCCAGCTTTAAGCTGGTCATACGCTAATAATATGTTTATTATTGGTATTTATCTAGCGCCATCAGTTTAATCAGCCCTTTAAGCCTGGTACACATGTGCCGAAATTCGGCCGGTTGAGCAGGTACGACCGACTTCTGTTGAGCGGTCTTGCTGGAAAGCCACCATCCATTAAGCACTTGCTGCCAAGGGCTGCATCACTTACCTGTGTATTCTTGAGGGGAGGTGCCCACCCACCCCCATCAGAATATAATTGTGCAGTGGGGGAGATCCCTGCATCAACATAATTTGTGTGGATGAGCGGAACTGTCAAGTATTTTTGCATTCAACCCTCTGGTTGAACAAAAAAAATGTACACTGTGTACCCAGTTTTACATTACAGTATATTGTATATTTACATCAGTATATTGTACATTCACCTCAGTCAATGCCTCGGGGAGCTTATAATCTAAAGTCCCTACCTCACAAGTATACATACTAGGGCCAATCTAGATAGGTGCCAGTTAATCTACCAGCATGTCTTTGGAATGTGGGAGGAAATCCATGCAAGGAAAGTGAGAACATGCAAACTCCATGCAAGTAGTGTCATGGTTGGGATTTAAACTGATGATACTAATGGTGCAGGGGAGATATGGTAAGTAAGTAATTTTGCAATTTCTCATATTTATATCCATACAGGCTTAATAAGAGAAATCTATTAAAGCTTAAGGCAGGCCGTAGATGGACCAAATTTCTTTCCTGCATCCTCATTTTCCCTTCAACACAGACATTGTTAAAAGGGGAATCCCTCCCGCTGAGCCATTGTGTGAATATTGGTAGCTGTTATATTAGCTAGCAATAATCACATGTATAATCCAGCAGGCTGGTTGTACCCAAGCTGACCGAATGACCAACTTGAGTACATTGGACCTGCCCATACATGGTTCGAATCTCAGCCCGTTCAGCGAGCAATAATTGCATGTAAAATCTGGCAGGTTGGTCATACCCAAGTTGATTGATCGATCAACTTGGGTGCATTCCTCCGGCCCATACACGGTTCGAATCTTGGCCAGTTCCTGCTGAACTGGCCGAGATTCGAACTGTCTTTGACCGGCTTAACTGCAGCCAAATTCAAAAAGAGAAAAATCATCACAATGGACATAACAAAGAGACAGTAGGACATGTCCCTTCTGTTAGTAGTAATATTCCTCTGTCTTGCCCCCCAACCCTGCTGCTGTAATTTTCAAGTGTGGCGGGGGTTATGTTCCTTTTTGCTGATCTTTCTGTTTTTGATTTTTGCTTGCTCATAGACTTTAATTCCCTTATCTATATTATTGTGTTCTGACAACCAGCATTCACGGCTGTCAGAATACCCGAACAGTGCCTGCATTGCAATTTTCTGCCCAGCACTTTCAGGCAGAAAGTTGCCAACAGGGCCAGCCACAGCTCAAATTTTTACTGGTTTATCAAAAACTGGCTGAAATTCAGTCTGTGCATGGCCAATTATACTGTCTTATTGTCTTGTAGACTTGAGTGCTTCAGATTTATTTACTGAGCAAACATTTGTTGTAGCAAGACACAGAACATTACACCACGCCAGTTTGTAATAGTTCCTTGTTAGTGCTCTTAAATAGTACTTTATTTCCATGTTTTTCATTGCCCAGTCTAATATATACACAATTCTAGTGGAATATCAGATGCAGCATTGCACTCTTATAAGTATATGTGTATCTTGAGGATTGTTGTCAAGTGAACAGCTGCTGAAACCACTAATTACAACCAGTTGTACCTACAATGGGAAAGCAAATAATATACAATTCAGTGTCTGATTCCCTAATAAATTATATATGACTTGCATCCTTCCCTATATTATCCTCATTGCCAGTGCAGATTACATAGAGCTGTGAGACATCATTGGAGGGGAGTATTTATTTTTCTAGTCCAAACCTGCTCCATTATCATATAATGAATGAAACAAACACACACGAGTGATTGGATGACATCTCTCTAAACTGGATTGAAGTTGGGAGCACTGAGAGAGCCTAGCAGGTGCTTCTGTTTTTATAAAGAGGGTTGTAGACCTGGAGTTGATCTGCATTCTAAAGTTAGGTCCTCTTAATTAGGGCATACAGGAATTGGAAGGGCGTGTAAAAAGTTTCCATACCTTTCTTGTTCCCTACTGAGCTTATGTAACCCGCCCTACACCCCCCCCCAATTTTGGCAGCCATGCCATGCTGCGATATTCACGGCATGCCCTATGTCTTTTCACAGCCTGTATGTCCACATTAGAGCCCTATAGACTTTTTATAGAAATGTATTGTGTAATTTGAAAGGCACACAGGCAGCAGAAAAAAGAGGCCCTGCCTGCTGGAGGTACAAAATCAAGGGAGATTGGGTGCCAGAACTAGGTAGGATTGTAGGTGTGGATGAGGAGGGTGGGTTACATTAGCTTAGTTGAAGGGGAGGGGGGTAAAGGGTATGTAAAATTTGTTTGAAGGTTTCCTCATTTTGTAAGTTGGTACTTACAATGCTGAACTGCTCTGGGTCACATGAGCTAGCATTCCATTTTCAGGTCATGTGATCTGGATTTTAAACACCTGTAGAGTAGCTTTTAAAATTTAATTGCTGACTTTATTGCTGCTACCGTGTTATCTTTGTTCCACTTTAAAGGTTAAAGTGGTTGTAAGTCATTGACATGAAATATAAATAACGCATTTCCCCTGTAGTGTGTACTTGTCTCAATCCAGAGTACTGAGTGTCATTTCTGTCTGCTGCCTCCTTCCTCTGCTATCTGTATGAGTCACTGCTGACATTTTCCTGGCACCAAAAGGTAGAAAGCAAAAAGATGATGGGGAGGGAGCTCCAGCACACAGACTGTGATGGACAGCCTCAGCACTGTTACTGTGTGCTATGTGAAGGGGAGGAGGGGGGGGGTGTCCCTTTCTCCCAATCAGCTTTCACTGCAGTGTGCAACTTCAGCTCCCAGTCCCCTGCTTTCAGGAAGTCAGACAAGCTGAGGATTTGTTTCATCTCTGGGTATCCCCTGAGGCCAGTCATTTCACTGGGTAGATGTAAGGGTTTACAACTACAGTAATACCTCGGTTTTTAAGAACGCCTCGGTTAAAGTAATTTTCGGTTTTACAAATGCAAATCCACTGAAAATAATGCCTCGGTTTACAAATTTTGTATGAATTTTTTTCGCAATACGAAGTGTATGTCAGTGCTGATTTTTAAATGCAATTGCTGGCTCTTTTTTTTTTTTTTTCACTATAGCTCACAGAATTAGCTGTCACTTTCCCCAAAGTTAACGGAAATATTGTTTCTTTTAAGAAACTAAAAAGAAACATTGTTTGCCCCCCCCCCTTCATTTCCTGACCTGCCAGGCTGCATGCTCTGAAAAGGGTCTGGTATGGATTTTGGGGAGCACCCCCACGCCATTTTGTTTTAAATCCTCAAAATCCAAACCAGACACGAAAGGCTTGGTATGGATGTGAAGGGGGGGACCCCACGCAGTTTTTTAAATTATTTTTTAAATTGCCGCCAATTCTTTTACGTTCAGCTGTCAGTGGGGATCTCCGCTGACAGCTGAAATATTAACACATGGTTGTCACTACTAAAATGCTGCATGACTTGATAAAATAATTCATGCAGTATTTATTAGTGTTTACTTTTTTCTGATCTCCGGAACAGATTAATTGGTTTTCAATGCATTCCTATGGGAAACGGAGTTTTGGTTTAAGAATTTTTCGCTATAAGAAAAGTCCTGCAGAACTAATTAAATTCTTAAACCGAGGTATTACTGTACTTTAAAAATGATGCTAAGAAGTGGAGAAGGGACAAGCACCAGCTAAGTGTAGCATTTAGTTAAACACTTTATTGGCACAAAGATATACACTCACAATGAAGTAAGGCCATTGATGGCCTGATGAAGGAACGTGTATGCTCCACAATGTGTAACCATGCAGCTTCCAGTCGTGACGTCAAATCCACTCCACTGTGCATTCCATGCTGTCCAGGATACCCGGGTGCCTCTGACGTAGCCATTCAGCACAATGGCGGACCTAGGCCATGTTGGACATGGTGTTTTTGCAACCAATAAGTGAGTTTTTATTTGCTTGTGAATGCATGTGAGTGTATATCCTTGTGTCAATAAAGTGTTCAACTAATTGATACACTTAGTTGCCGCTTGTCCCCTCCTCCCCTTTTTGTATTCACATTAGAGTTGCTTCTATTCTTGGGACTAAGCAGCCACTGAGCATACACTCCATAAACTGATGTGGGCTGTCAGCATGGACTTTTTTTTACTATCATCATAAGGATTTTTAGTATTTCAGTGGACTTTTACGTTTATCCCCCCAGTGCGCCAATATTTATCTCTTTCCAGTTTAAAGCTGATGCTGTGTTTCATTTTCAAATTTGAATTCATAAATGAAATTAATTCGGAACTGAACATTATTTGACATAGTACATATATATTTATTATGAAAATGTCATCTATTTCTAGCAATGTATTTGTTAAACATGCTTAAATATACAGTAGTATTAATTGCAGTTTCCTTTGTTTTTAGTTTATAGGCGGCTGGACGGTTCTGTTGAGTGTTGCAGTAACAGCAGTCTTACTGATGTCTGTTTCTCTATAATGGTAATGGCGAACGTCAACAGTAAGCTTGTGTCATGGGCCATGTCTGTCCTTTACTTCTGGATATACTGTATTTGTAGAAAATAATTGATGTGTAATTATAAAAATATGTAGTTTGAGCCCAGATTTCTTACAGTGCCTGTCGCTTGATAACTGGCATTTCAATTTTATGGAACAGAACCAACCATTAGCTTCTACCTTCTCTCTCAGCACTTGGTTGAGAGGAAGTCAACTGTCACTGCTCCAAGTCATCAAAATCTCTTAGGATCCATGTGTTCAGGTGGTGTCTTGGGAGCCCACCCACACTCCATGTAACTATCTCCAAAGAACAAAGTGGTTGCAATCTAATGATGTCACATTCAAATAAAACGTTACTGATTCATTGCAGCAGACATTGGTGTCCCCGCCTATAGACCATTCACTCTAACGCATTTTATTCACAATGGGCCTAGTCGTAGAGATTCTGGCAGTTCAGTATCTGTAGTTTAAACTCTGCTTTCCCAATTTTAAAGTTTTTTGCCTATTCTTCTTCAGCAGGGGAATCTCATGTCTCCTGCCATGTCCTGCATAATGCAGAAGAGTGAATGAGATTCCTCATATTGGCTGGAGTCATAAGGACACATATACAGAGAGCTTGCCACTGGAGACTGCTTGATAAAAGAAGAAACAGTGTGTAAATAGACTTGTACGTATAATACACTACAAATAGAGGGCTTTAAAACATTGATATACAGTGCCTTGAAAAAGTATTCATACTCCTTGAAATTGTCCACATTTTGTCATGTTACAACCAAAAATGTAAATGTATTTTATTGGGATTTTTATGTGATAGACCAACACAAAGTGGCACATAATTGTAAAGTGGAAGGAAAATGAAAAATTTTTTTCAAATTTTTTTAAAAATAAATATCCAAAAAGTGTGGCTTGCATTTGTATTCAGCCCCCTTTACTCTGATACCCCTAACTAAAATCTAGTGGAACCAATTACCTTCAGAAGTCACCAAATTTGTAAATAGAGACCAACTGTGTGTAATTTAATTTTAGTATAAATACAACTGTTCTGTGAAGCCCTCAGAGGTTTGTTAGAGAACATTAGTGAATAAACAGCATCATGAAGTCCAAGGAACACACCAGACAGGTCAGGGATAAAGTTGCGGAGAAGTTTAAAGCAGGGTTAAGTTGTAAAAAAAAATCCCAAGCTTTGAACATCTGACCGAGCACTGTTCAATCTGTCATCTGAAAATGGAAAGAGTATGGCACAACTGCTAACCTACCAAGACATGGCCGTCCACCTAAACGGACAGGCTGGGCAAGGAGAGCATTAATCAGAGAAGCAGCCAAGTGGCCCATGGTAACTTTGGAGGAGCTGTAGAGATCCACAACTCAGGTGGGAAAATATGTCCACAGGACAACTATTAGTCATACACTCCACTAATCTGGCCTTTATGGAAGAGTGGCAAGAAGAAAGCCATAAGAAATTTGCAGTTTGTGAGAAGCCATGTGGGGGACACAGCAAACATGTGGAAAAAGATGCTTTGGTTAGATGAGACCAAAATTGAACTTTTTGGCCTAGAAGCAAAACATTATATGTGGCAAAAAACTAACACTGCACATCGCCCTGAACACACCATCCCCACCGTGAAACGTGGTGGTGGCGGCAACATCAAATTGTGGGGAAGCTTTGTTTCAGCACAGACACAGAAGCTGGTCAGAGTTGATGGGAAGATGGATGGAGCCAAATACAGAGCAATCTTAGAAGAAAACCTGCAAAGAGTCTGCAAATGACTTGAGACTGGGGCGGAGGTTCACCTCCCAGCAGGACAATGACCCTAAACATCCATACATCAAAGTATATCCATGTGTTAGAATGGCCTAGTTAAAGTCCAGACCTAAATCCAATTGAGAATCTGTGGCAAGACTTGAAAATTGCTGTTCACAGACTCTCTCCATCCAATCTGACAGAGCTTGAGCTATTTGCAAAGAAGAATGGGCAAAAATGTCACTCTCTTTAGATGTGCAAAGCTGGTAAAGATACACCCAAGAAGACTTGGAGCTGTAATTGCAGCGAAGGTGGTTCTAAAAAGTATTGACTCGGGGGGGGGGGGGGGGGAAGAGGGGCTGGGGGGACTGAATACATATGCCACACTTTTCAGATATTTATTTGTACAAAAAATGTTGAGAACCATTTATCATATTCCTTCCACTTCACAATTATGTGCCAATTTGTGTTGGTCTATCACATAAAATCCCAATACAATACATTTATGTTTTTGGTTGGAACATGACAAAATGTGGAAAATGTCAAGGGGTATGAATACTTTTTCAAGCACTGTATATTAATGAGATGAATCAAAAATTTATTAATTATGTAAAAAACATTGAAATGTCCCTCAAACATTAGGACAAACAGTGACTCATTATTAGTAACAAAGTTTTGGAAAGCATTTTCAAAAAGGTATCAAACAAGTATTGTATCTCTTAATTGTTGGTTTTGTGCAATGTCCTGATTTCTGATCACTGATTCTGCTGTTGACAGTATGCTTGTCTACCAGCAAGGAAGGCAATCCAAGCAAGCCTTGAGTGTCGATCTAATATAGACTGTCAGAAGGCAGCTTCAAACACTGTCTGTGCCATCCCTTCAATAGAGAACCAGACGCGTCTCATCAGAGTCAAGCATCCACCGCAACTTGACATGTTGTTTATAGGCTATCCTGTGCACCTAGAATATGGAGGTGAGCACTCATGTGATTACCATAAACATCCAAGCTGTAGAGGTAATCATATTTACAATTTTGAAGGCATTTTCTTTTCTGATCCATAAAGCTGGACACAAAGGATTGTTATGGTCATTATGCCCACTCCAAGATTAATTGTAATGGGCAGAGTAAACCAACATTTAGATCTATTCACACCAGTGCGTTTGTTAGTGTGTTTTTACAGAAACGGACTACAGTCCATTTAAAATGGTTTCCTATAGGCCATGTTCACATCTATGTGTTTTCAGCAGCTGCTGCATTTTTGGAAAGGGTCAGATACTTTTTTCCTGCAGCAGATTGCATTTTTGGGTGCAATAGACTTCAATGGAACCGCACCAAAAACCAAAGTGTTGCGTTTTGGATGCATTTTGCACTTTTTTTTGCCAATAGGAAAGTATTGAGTGTGACTTTGATGCTACTTTACACTCTTTGGCACTCAAGTCGCATCAAAGTAGTGCAGGAACATTTTTAAAGTCACAGTGACTTTGAAAAGGTTCCTGCACTACTTTGATGCGACTTTACACTCTCTGGCACTCAAGTCATATCAAAGTCACATCAAAGTAATGCAGGAACATTTTCAAAGTTGCTGAAACTTTGAAAATGTTCCTACACTACTATGATGCCACTTTGAGTGCCAGAAAGTGTAAAATCACATCAAAGTCGCGCTCAATACTTTCCTTTTGGGAAAAAACAAACCATGAAATATGTCAAAAACGCAAAACTCACCACAAAACGTGCCGGAAAAATGCATCAATTGCAACACGTATAGGTGTGAACCAGGCTTTACAGGGCCCTTTCCTTAAAGTGGCGTGCCAGGAGTACTACAAGACATGTACAGGGCCTTTATAAACAGCACTTTCCCACTGGGTGCTGATATGTTTAGTAAATCCTGGCCTCTCAATCTAGTAATTAACTAATTTTCGATGTAGAGAGCTTGGCATATTTACTAATCCAGAGCTAGGTAGGTGTCAAAGGCTCTGCTACTCTACCATGGCTCTAAGCAGAACAGCCAAGCCCTTACACCTTCTAGACAACTGGCATTGATGAAAATGCTGGCTCTAAAAGTGAAGTATGAAGGTTTACCACCCTGACTCTACCATTGCATGCAGCATGGCCAGGGCAGGATACTGTACCCTGTGAAGGTCAGTTTACTTTGTTCAAAGAGGATATTAGTCCTTTAAAGTGGCACTTTTGGTAAAATGTTATTATTAGGAATGATACTGAACTCTGATTCTAGGTCAAAAAAATGAAAGGGTTTGGAGCCATTGGTACAAACTAAAGATCAAAACCACGCAAAGGAGAACGCAATAATTTCCCATATTCTATGACACAGTTTATTATATATAGCACACAAAGGAAAGCCCCACATGATTAAAAACCATACTGTAAGATATAAAACACTGTCCCCTTATTCCCCCTCCAAAACTATTTTTTAGCCTGGGTTCACACTGATGTGATGCGGAATTTGCAGTTGTTTCTGTGCGAATTCCGCACCGCATCACAATCTCACCCCGTTAATGCAAATCGCTGCTGGTGTGGATGTGATCTGATTCTAGTGCAGACCTAAAAAAGGGTCCTACACCTTTTTGGTGCGGATGCGGTGCAATTTGAGCCATACAAAATGTATAGATCAAATCGCTCTGCACAGAATTCACATGTGATTTGCACAGGAATGCGGTGCGGTTCCTGTGCAAATAACATGCCGCACCACATATGTGTGAACCCAGGCTTAAGTCCATTGTAGTGTGTATAAATGAGGCACAGCAGCTGACATCATTTAGACTATTGAATGGCTATTGATGTTCAGTACAACAGGTTTAGCTTCAAATAGAGTGAACTAATAGATACTTTTATATTGTGTATACAATTGCTGTGCCTGCTGTACTGCACATTAGTGTATATACAAGGTGTGCCTAATAAGTTTGGTGAATGGTCCGATATCTCAACAGCAACATGGGCCAGGTTTGCGCTCATTCACATGGCTATCCAGAGACACATCGAGAAAGTGCCACCTAGTGTGGAGTACACGTGACCAGGTAAAGCCGCTGTGGGCAGTCGAACTTAGTGTTAGAGGAAGGGTCACAGTGCAGTGGCACAACGAGTGAACGCACCAAGTTCTGCTGCATATTGGAGGAAACGGCAACAGAGACACATGAAATGGTGCAAGTGTACGGGATGGAAACTGAACACAAAAATGTGTTTACGACTGGTACAAACGCTTTCACGACAGGAAGGAAACGACTGAGGATGAGCCACGTTTGGGTCGGCCGTTGACAAGCAGAACCCCACACGTGATTGAGCAAGTGTGACAAATGCTGGCACAAGATCGGTGACTGGCTCTACGAATGATGGAGGAGGAATTGGGCATTAGCAAGGACACAGTGTGCAACATATTCCGTGAAAATTTCAGTAAGCAAAAGGTCTGTTCCCGGTTTGTGCCACACAAGCTGACAGACGAACAGAAAGCAAAACGGATGGAAACCTCTGGAGATTTCATTACCATGTGTGACCAGGATCCATTCTCTGCAAACCATTGTCACAGGGGATGAGACCTGGTGCTACCAGTTTGATCCAGAATCCAAGCGGCAATCGATGGAATGGCATTCACTTTCTTCCCTGAGACACAAAAAGAGTCGCCTGCGAAAGTCCAAGATCAAGACAATGTTGATCACCTTCTTTAACAACGATGGCATCATCTACAAGGAATTAATTCCTGCGGGTCAAACCTTGAATGCTGCATTCTACGAGGAAGTTTTGAGATGGTTGCTACTATGCATTCGCCATGTTTGACCAGAGTTGCACAGGACTGGACAGTGTGAAATTTGCTGCATGATAACATGTCTGCGCACTATGTGATCCATGCGTGCCATTTTTTGGCTCTGCGCAGCGTACCTGTTCTTGATCATCCACCATACTCCCCTGATCTGGTGCCTGCAGACTTCATTCTGTGTGCCTGAAGAGCGTTATGAAAGGTGCAAGTTTTGCGGACATGGTGGCAATCCAAGAATATGTGACAACGGTTCTGTGATCGATTCCTAAAGAGGTCTTTGCTGACAGTTTATGAACGTTGTCAAAAGCGTGTTGTGCAGAATGGCAATTATTTTGAAGTAGTTTGTTTGTATTTTTTTTGTTTGTTTTCTGATACCATTCACCGAACGTATTAGACACATCTCGTATTGCAATGACACAAACGTTAAGAGGCACATTTTGGCAGCTGTCCTACAGGTACGGCTGCCGTGCCCTAAACATCACAATTACTTGGGAATTGGCGATTGTTTTGCAATACAATAGACATAACTCTTGAAAAGCTGGATTTGGCAAGCAGTCTGCAGACACAGTATTACTTTTACACCCTTACTGCACTGCAGAATGACATGAAAATTAGAATATCACTGATACAGGGGTAAAGGGGCACATTTTGGCAGGTACCTTGCAGGTTGGGTTTCCATACCCTAGGGATAAACTTACCTGGAAATTGTGAATTTTGTTGTGTTTTGTTATATTGTGCCCTATGTGCGGAACACTGTTTATAATGAATCTTGGTATCTATTAGAGGGATATTAGATCCATATGTCACAGACAGGGGCGGACTGACAACTCATGGGGCCCCCGGGCAATAGGGGATCATGGGGCCCCTTTGCCCTCGCCAACACCCAAAAAAGCCTATGAAAAAGCCAATGAAAGGTACCAGGGGCATCTCATGGGGCCCCTACTGACCACGGGCCCTCTGGCAGTGCCTGAGTTTCCAAATGGTCAGTCCGCTCCTGGTCACAGATACACTTAAGCTATTAATCTTTTATATACACACTATGTTGAGAGTTTTGGAGGGGGGGTTAGGGGATCACGTTTTATATTTTACATCGTGGTTTTTAATCACATGATGGGCTAGATTGATGTTAGGGGTTAAAGTGATCCTATGCATTGTCTATGCATGGCGCAGGTTTACTGTAAGGGGTTGGTTACACAAGTGACCAGAGGGGGAAGGGGAGCTTTGGTTGGGGTAAAAGCAAGTGGTTAAGCCATGATTTTACCACCCATCTAAACCAAGAGGTTCCGCCTCACAGGGCTGTAACCATGCCATGCAAAAAATTAGGCAGCATGTGCCATTCGGCAGGTGGTGAATGGAGCTGCTCTGCAACCACCCTGCATTTTGAGAGTTAAAGTATGCAGTGAGGCAACATATCGCCTCCTACCTGCCTGTAAACAGCCCTATGAAAGTGATCAACTTCAGATCACTTTTCAGAGGGGCAGCAGTACAGTATAGCTGAATGCATGAACGAGCCCTATTTGTTTCTTTTTAGAAACATATACTCAATATCCTCTTACTTTTTTGCCACCCTTTTTAGCAGCAGGGAGTGAAAGGAAAGCACTCTGTAATAGTACGTGTAGCTAGTGTTCCAGCAAATTGGCATAGGAATGTCATGTGGAATGGTTACCTGGAAGTACTGGTTATATTCTGTGTCCTGCCCTTAATGATTGGTTGCTTTGCTTTCAATGGGCAAAGCACAGGAGTGTGTTTATGTTTTGGAGTTGGGCTGAAGTTTAGGGCTAGAGCAGGGAGGCTCAACATGTGGCCCTCGGAGCTCTAGAAGGGGGCCCTCGACCTCAAACCAGGGAAGAGCACTTCTATTATCCCCTGTGGGTTTGGTGCACTTTCAGAAAGTGCGCCATACCCACACGATATAATAGAAGTCAATCGCAAAGCGCAGCTAACCCGCCGGAAAGCTGCAAGTGCACTACGTTACACCCACCCATGATGCGGATAAACCGCAGTGCATCAGTGTGAAGCAGTCTTATAGTTTGCTCAGGACAGTAAGGCCTTGTTTACATTTGTAGTTTGTGGAGTGGTAAAACCCCATAGTTGAGATATGTTTTTACTACACACCCCCCTCATTGAAAGTGAAAGTAAAAGAAAATGCCAAATTTTGGGTTGACATCAGAACACTAATGTAGCAGAAATTTTCCATTAGGGACACTAGTTCTGATGACACACCAGGATTCCCTCACTTTGGAGGGATTTCCTCTCAGTTCTTGTTTTGGCTATGGGACAGGAAGTGAAGGGAAA